CACTGAGGTCTGGCTGCAGGAAGGAAAAAACCCAATGAGGGTCAATAGCAAAAAGCATGGGAACTACTGTGTAGGTGTTTGAAATGCTGGTAGATAGGGGAATCACCTTGCATGATTTTTCTGATAGACCATTTAACTGATCAGTGCCTTTAGTTGGGACTCGGCTTCAATTCACTAGTGTCAGTTTAGCAGAATTAACCTAAGTCTTGGCACATTCTTACTGTAGTTATGAATCGCATTGATGTGGTGTCACTTCTCGTGCGTGTTTTTCAAGCTTTCTGCACGTCTAGTTCATGGTACACTAGAGGGAAATATAACCATGAATGCTGAAAACTGACTTTGGAAAAAGCATGTTTGTTGTATTAGCAGTTATGTTCTATTGATGCTAATGTACTGTATTGCTAAAAAATGCACCCTATTTATTTACATCAGTGGTGTCCCAGCAAGCCCTTCTCTGGTAAGTATAATGTGTGTTTTAATGTGAACAATTTTCTCTAAATATTTTGGTGGTCTGCATGAGGACACTGCTAACTGACATTGACATACTTTTCCTGTTTGGAGTTGGCTTGTTCATGTACAGTATGCTTAATCTAATCATCAACAAAAGCTGACAAAGTGTGGCATGGATGTGAGACTGAGAGACACAAATAATTTAGGTTACAAAAGCTAGCAGTCTTCTCAACCAGGCATTTCCAGTTGCTGAAGGAGCTTACTAATGGTGTGTTTCTTCTCTTTCCATGAAAATACTACTTTATTTTCCACAAAATATCTTGTCTCACAGGGATAACTGATGAAATTTGGTGTTTCAGTTGTAGTCACTAAATGGGTATAATGGAAAGGTCATCTACATTAAGCCAGATTGAAATATTTTCTTATTTCCTAACTCCTGTGGTGGTTTAAAATTACTGGCTGAACAAAGCTTTGGGAAAACCTTCAAAGCAAAACTATACAGTGAAAACGCTTGTTCTTTTAATTTCAGAATATTTATGTGTCTAGTGAGAAGATACAGGCAAGGAAATCTGTGTTTCTCTAGTGTAAGATTACAGAGAGTCACAGGAGTTGAAGGATGGTGCTGTGCTTTGGCAAGTTTTTATTAATTTAGGAGATGGTGAGAAGGTTTTACAACCAAATGTTTCTGTAAATGGACTGAACAGTATGTAATCTGGAAGGAATAATCTTCCATCCTTTCAGGTCGACCCACAGCTTTTGCTGATCCTGTGTGGTGTGGCCATGCAGTCCTGCGGACAGGAGGCGGGTTTGGGGTGCCTGTGCCGGAGGAATCGATAGACACTCCACTTCCCCCCGGAGCCCTGTGCTGGGCTTTCCCAGCAGCTGCCGGTCTGCGGTAGCTCCGTGGGGAGAAGCTGCCTGGAGATCCTGATAGTGCTGGCGTGAGTGTGACACTTCTGTCGGAGGTGGGATGTCACCTGTGGAAGCAGGGGGGGGGGATGTTTGTCAGCGGCTGGGCCCTGGCAAGCTGCGCTCCTGCAACAGCAGCTTCTGGCGGGGTGGAGGACAAGGCAGTGCCTCTGCTGCCGTTCGTTGCCTCCGTTTGGATCTCTGCCATCTGCCTGGTGTAAAGGGACAGGATGCAGACAAGAGGGAATAGCTGATCTTGGCTTTGGGACAGGTCGCTCCCACAGGCAGCCAGCGGGACGGTTGTGAGCTGCCAGAACGTTCTGCGTGAGTCGCTCGCTGTGGAGCTCACGTTGGCGGTGCTTGGGTTGTGAGCAGGAGGCATGCGCTGCAACCCGCCACTGCCTTCTCGTATGAAGGTCTCATGTCAGCTACTACTAAATACCGGCAATCAGAGCTGTTAGATCACGACTAGCACAGGGCTACACCTTCACTGCTCTACTCGTACAAATGATTGAATGTTTGTTTTTTTTTTTAATTTACTTTTTCAAGTCCATTGATACTTGAATGAGATGAGTGTGGCTGTAGCTGGCCTTGTAGTAGAAGCCGAGAACAACTACCAGCTACACAGAACTGGGATGTGTATTATGGGTATGAGACTGTATGTGCTGAAAGGTAGCTTTTGAGCTGTACCAGTGCTTAGGAGCTGCCGCATCTTGAATGCATCAGTAGCTGTAAGATCCTGCATTATTATTCAGTCCTGTGCCTGTCCAAAGCTATTTGGCAAAATGTTGCAGAACAGAATTAAATTATGTGGCAACATACGTATATGCGGAAAGGCTTTTTTATCTCTCTGGCCTAATGTTGTAAGAGTTTCAAACCAGAGTACGTGGGAAGCGCATCCGAGAGCAAGGACACAGTTGTGTGTGTGTCAGCGTACTTACAGTGCTGCATTTTCCTCCTCTGAGTTACTGATCTATCTGTTAGCAGCCTGGTTATGTTACAGTTTGGGGCACATTAGGAAGAATGTTTGTGTCTGGCTTGCCAAGTGAGTCACTTTGGTGTTTATAATCTCTTGGTGATTTGCCAGGGAAACCTCTGTGCCAAGTTGAGTTTCTCATGTGATCAGGAAGGGACACATGAGGAGGCACCGGGACTTTCCCAGCTGTCCCCCCACAGGATGACAGGGATATGGCAATTGTCTTGTGCTTTACAGAGATTTTTTTCAGAGGAACATAGAGCTAGATCTCATACAGAAATCACTGGGGTTCCCTTTGGACATCTGGCACTTTTCATATCCTTCTTTCACGCTCAAATAACCAAGCAACTTTTTAAAAGGAACTGCCTAGTCCCTGAGCATGTGTCCTCCTAGGAAGGCTTGCTCACCTGATGGTATTTACTCCCTGTTGCTTTCCTGTGTGTATGTTAGGGTCAGTATTTCATTTCCCTGCAGGATTATTGGTGTGGAATAAAGTATTGGACTTGCTCTGGTGGGCCAAATGTGCCGCCGTACCTTGGAAACAACCTGCAAGTGCTTCTGCATTAGTGGAAACGGCAAGTGTCAAGTTAAATGTGATTGCTGTTTAAAATATCAAATTCCTCTTACATGGTTTGGAAAGAAGGAAGGGGGATTGTTCAAGCTGATCTCATGTGGGGAGCTCCTGTGAATCGTTCTGAATCCTCTTGCAAGCGTGATATGAGGGGCTCGGGGGCTTATGTTTAATTTTGGTTTTAAAGGTTAAAATTAGGTGCAAAGAGGTGGTTGGTTTTACGCACAGGTGTGCGCATATACAAGGTGGGACCAGGCACCAGAAAATAATATCCTTGTATAGTAACTCTCCCATGGATTTGAAAATATGTTTTATTTTACCTTTTTTGTTAAAGAAGACGTTCATGTAACATAGGTGTTGTTTCATTTTTGTATTTAATTTAATACATGCAGAAAACACTTTACATGATATTGGTCATTGTAATAATATAAGGATTTAATTCACTTCTAAACCATGGCCGGTTGGATGGTCAATTTTACAGGTGTTATTTTCAGGGACTTCTCTTTTTATATCTTCCTATTGAGAGTACATGTTTCCCACTCATCATCTTTCACAAATTATCTTTGCAGTGGGACAGTATATGTGGGGCAGAAGTCCTTTGAAAGGAAGAACATGGACTTTTGACTTACCAAGTAAAGTCTCACAAGACGTTTTTTACAAGATGTTTATACCCATGTCTGGTTTTTGGTGCTTTGCGAAAGCCAGCTGTCACCTAGGTTCTTTGTGCTTTTGAGAGTCTGGTGATTTTTGCATCTTCTTGCAACACTTCATCACTCCGTCAGTAAATGAAGAAGCAGGTCTCCTCAGCTATATTTGAGCATTCCTGGATTTGGCACTTATTTTGCTAGAAGGTGGAAATATGTCTGCTGGTGCAGATATTTTATTTGATCCCGTGTCAATAATCTACTCGAGTTTATAGGATTTTGTCTTCATTTTTTATTCCTTTAGTGCTTTTAGAGGTTCTTGGCTTCCCTTTGCACTCCACCTGAGCTCTAAAAGGTGAATTAATCTGACATATCCAGGCTACAAAGAATCTCTCACAGACAGCTTCAGAAACATCTTTCCTGGGTGCTTTTGACCACTTTGAGCTAAGATACCATGTTTGTTAATGGAAGCACAGAAGTAATGCATTTCAAAATTACTGATTCCCCTTAGTGTGTCTTACTGTGTTCCAGTCCTTCTTGTCAGCCTAATACTGTGATATAGAACATGTGGATTAGCCTGCTGTCCGGTAGGATGAAGAACGTACCCGGCTGTAGTAGCTGCCCCTCAGAAACATCTGTTGAAGAACTGAAATTGCCATTCTCCACTGGTCGTTCCATGCCTCCTCTTCCCTCATGCCCTCTCTTTTTAAAATCTCCTTTATAAAAAACTGAAGCTTGATGAATTTTTGTTTTTTTATTTTGTTTAAGGACAGTGTATGTTAAAAGTAAACATTTAAAATTTGCAGCCATTTGCTATTGGATGCATTTGTTTTAATAATGGCACAGAAGCTGAAGCTGGTTGTCGCCAGCTAGAAATAAAAGGAGATTCTCGCATAGTGCCTAGTCAAAGAGTATGAAACAAAAGCATAAGTGAAAGTGAAGCTACCACTGAACATAAAGTTTATTGCTGTTGCTGGGGAGTAGTGTACGCCTTCTTCAGGACCGCTGTGAACTTGGCCAGACAAAATGGGTGGAAGGGTAGAAGGTGGGGAATGTCTGCATCCTATTATGAATTGGAGGAAATGACTGTCTGCGCTCCGCACGCTGGTGGGCTCGGAGCATCCTGCCGGCAGGCTGGTTTGCACTGTAGGATACCAAACAAAAAGTCATGGCTTGTTGGCTTTGGTGTTTAAAATAACTACTAGAGATGAGAAGTTCTTATAAAAATATGCTGTGGGTTTTCTGTTGGCTTTCTTAGACTAACTGGAAACTTTCTGCTTTCTTTCAGGAGCATTTTTTCTCTGAAAACCTTGCTGCTAAAAAGCTCCAAACAGGAGAAGTAAATCCAGTCAGCTTGTCAGGTCACTGGCTCCGTGTAAAAGTGCTTTCATGAGGTAACGTTGGGCCAAAGTCAACTTTTCTTTCTTCTTTGTAAATCTGCAGCCAAGCAATGGGCCAGAAAATCTCAGGGAGCATCAAGTCTGTGGATGTGAGGGAGCCCCCTTATAGACCTGTTAAACGAGAGTTGAGAGGCCCGGATTTTTGCAAGCCCGCACGGCTGGACATGCTGTTGGACATGCCCCCTGCCAAACTGGAGGTCCAGTACAAACATGCGTGGAACAACGAAGATCGTTCCTTAAATATATTTGTAAAGGAAGATGATAAACTGACATTTCATAGACACCCAGTTGCCCAAAGCACAGATTGCATCCGGGGCAAAGTCGGCTACACAAGAGGCCTGCACGTTTGGCAGATCCACTGGCCCACGCGGCAACGGGGAACTCACGCCGTGGTGGGCGTCTCCACAGCCGAAGCTCCGCTGCACTCGGTGGGATACACGTCGTTGGTTGGTAGCAACAGTGAATCGTGGGGCTGGGATCTGGGGCGCAACAAACTCTACCACAATTGTAAAAACCAGCCTGGGGTCACGTATCCTGTCTTTTTGGAACCGGATGAGTCTTTTGTACTCCCAGACTCCTTACTGGTGGTTTTGGATATGGATGAAGGGACGCTTAGCTTCATGGTAGATGGACAGTATCTTGGAGTGGCCTTCAGGGGACTAAAAGGGAAAAAACTTTACCCCATAGTCAGTGCAGTTTGGGGGCACTGTGAAATTACAATGAGATACATCAACGGACTTGACCGTAAGTGTTACCATATTTCTTTGTTACACTGTCTTTCAACTTTTCTCATTAAAGATTTTTTTTCTTTATCCTTTTGTTGTGAACAGAATGTGCTGGGTGGGAGGGGACTGTCCATTGTGAGTAGATTGCATCCCATAGTTACTGGCCACAACTATCTATCAGTTGGGTCTTGTAATGGTGGTGTGGATTGTATCAAAATATCTCTCCTTTTGGCAAGCAGAGTGGCAAGAAATCTGTGTCCAAAGAAAAGGAACAGACTGAGAAAAAAGATCTTGAGAAACTTCCTGGTTATATTTAACAGTAAAACTCTTGTTTACTGGAGGATAGGTTTTAAATCTGTGGTTTTCAAATAGGATTTGTGGATCTTGTAAAAATTTCCTGTAGTAGTGGGAGCTCTTACATGGTGTGCATCAACATTCTTGCATTCAGGCCGGTAGGCTTTCTTTCCGTGGTTGCGTTTCCAGGACCCTCAGAAGCAGCTGTGGATCCCCAAGAATCTGGGAGCTCAGGTCAAATACTGCTTTCAACAGTCTGAAAGAGGGCTCTGGTCCTTAGTTCATTTCATAAGGTGCTCTCTCAGGGTATTTTCTTCTCCAGAAATACAGGGGTTTGGATAAACATTGGCTATTTTTGATCTAAAGGGGTAATATCAAATGAAATTGTTACCTAGTAAGGAGCAGTATGTTGCTGCCATGACCCTGAAATAGCAGCCAGCCAGAAGATCAGTGGCAAAACTCACGAGGGGGAGGCACCCTTGATCAGGGACTGTAGTGGTAGGATGAGGGGTAACGGTTTTAGGCTGAAAGAGGGTAGATTTAGATGAGATATTAGGAAGAAATTTTTTCCTGTGAGGGTGGTGAGGCACTGGCCCAGGTTGCCCAGAGAAGCTGTGGATGCCCCATCCCTGGAGGTGTTCAAGGCCAGGCTGGATGAGGCTTTGAGCAACCTGGGCTGGTGGGAGGTGTCCCTGCCCATGGCAGGGGGTTGGAGCTGGATGGTCTTTAAGGTCCCTTCCAACCCGAACCATTCTGTGATTATCGGCTGCTGTGAATTGGGGAACGAAAGGCTGAATGAGGTAGTAAGTGTAATTTTGTTCTTGTTTCAGACTGTATTATCTGAGCCATAGGAGCAACCATGAATATAAATACGTAGATTTAACAAAAATAGATGACTGAACAAAATTTTCATGGTTTTGCGACTTTATGAATGGAACTTGATCTTGTAAAAAGAGAATAACAGCAAATGTATAACACATGACTTTCAATTAGGAATTTCTAAAGGAATTTACTATTCTTTTCAATTAGGATAGGGTAGTCTAATTTTTTTTTTTCTGTCAAAAATCAATTCCCTGCTCATTAGCCTTGCAGAAACATAATGAAATAATTTGACCCTATTTAAGATTACCTTTTCATAAACATCTGTAATAAGCGCTGGGGGACAAAATCTTTATCCCCAGAAGCCCTGCAGGTTATTACAGCTAGGTGCTAACTGGCAGCTTCCTGGCTACGTTCATACATGGGAATATCAGGATTGTAAGTATTTTGTAGTTACTCAAGACATTGCAAAGAGGAGTGTGCTGACAACTTGCTGCAGTCTTTTTTTGTCTTTTTTTTGGGGGGGGGGAGGGGGGGATGGGGGAGAGATGCATTTGCAAACTGAATATTTGTGTGTGAAAGCAGTTTTTATAATACTGGGAATATCTGCCAAGCTAAGCACAGTACAGCTCAGCTTGGTCCACCACGTCCACACAAGGAATCATTCTGCATTCCTTTTGTAGCCTTCACAGGGCTGCTCTAGGGAGCTCTAGAAAGATGAAAACACAGGAGGAAGATGTGAATGAGTTTGGTAGAAATTATAAAATAAAGGGATCTAAGAAGAGCAGGATAGCTGTGGTCTGTGAGATGGCGGAGAGAAAAATTCCCATCCGGTTTCTCGTGGGATAATTTTGCTGGAGGAGACAGGATAGCTTCCTAAACGATCCCTGAGAAAGTCAAAGTACTCTTTTTTCTTTTTTTAAGGCTAAACCCATGGCTAAAAGTAAACTTGTAAACTAAACTTTTTGTGTAGGCTTGAGTGTTAATCTGATCATGTGAAGAGGAAATTTAAAGCCACTTGGCCATGGGGCAGTTTGACATCCTGGAATCCTGTCATGTGCTCACTGTTCTGTTACTGTCCTGAAATAAAAAACAGCGTTCAAGAAACCAAAGTAGCTTGTTTAGCTGCTGCTCTAGAGTAAACACCTTCTCTTCTCTGCTAAAAGTGTTTCTCTCACACCAGCCCTTCGGTAGCAGTGCAAGCTTCGTCGTGGCACTCTGGATGTTCACTCTCATAGCACTTAATATTATGGGTTTTTGTAATTATTGTTTATTCTTGTGAAAATTGGAGTAGATCTTGAAGAAGAGTGAGATGCTTATGTTGCATTCCAAATGTAAATACATTTGAACATACATATGTGTATGGGATTTGTGTTGTTGTTTGCTTGCTTTTTAACCTTACAAATTCTCTTTTATCCTTCCCTCCTCTCGCCCCCCCAGAAGTTTCTCACGCTGCTCACTGCAGTTTTTGGTAGGTCTGGCAATAGTAACTTTGCTGTTCTTGAAACTGTGCTGTCAGACAGTGACTTGCAGCTTGCTGTTTAGTGATTGATTGTCACTGCTTGGGATGCGTATCATAGCATGCCATGGTTGTTTATGTGGTGTCTTACGGAGCAAATGGAGACCTCCGCTGCTGGGATTTCCAGTGTTTTCAGTGCTTGCTGTTTAGCTAGAAGACCTCGGAATACCTTCGAGCCCGTGTATTTCAGTTGCCTGGCAAGGAGTGAAAGGCTTGCAGGAGTGGAAGAGTGAGAGAATCAAATTATGGGCTTGTGCAGCTGCAGTTAACATATGTTACAGTGGATAGAGACGACGCAGACTGTGAAGTGTGTTAATTACTGTATAGATGGCAGAATCCTAGAAGGATAACACTGCAGGTCAAAGATCAAGAACCCGCCTGCCCTCCGTATTCTGGATATTGCTCCTAGAATAATCCTGTAGTTAAAATCAATTGTAGTTCTTCCAGCAGCATCTGATACCCAGAGTATTCTGCTTCAGAAGCTGCTTTGAGCATCACATGATGATGTGCTGTGACTTTCACAAGACAGTTTTTCCCTCAAATGTGAGAGACTCAGAGTTGCAAATATTTGTCAGGCTTTGGGAGGGAAGGCCAGGGGCAGGATGGAAAGTGCTCATCATAAGCATGTTGAGTTCTTCCCAGGACAAACTTCTTTGATCAAATGCTGGCACTATTTACAAGACTGATGTTTGCCCAGTGCCTAAGTTTTACGGAGTTTTACACTGGGCTTCTGACTCATTGCCTATTGCAATAATTAAAAATACAAATGCACAGAAAATGCAGTATATGCTGTTTTTCAGATGCTCTTTTCATCAGGGTATGTGTGTGTTTAAAAAAAGCTGAGCTATTTATGTCTGTCTGATGAGGAACCCTGAAGACTATATGTAGACTGGAACAGAAGAAATAGCGAAACACTTCTGTGTAAGTATCCATTGCAGAGCATGACTGGTACATTAGTACCTGTGTGTTTAAACAAAGCAGTGGGAGGACAACTTTACCGTGCTGTGGGGGAAAACTTGTTCATGGAGTAGGTGAGTTGAACGCAGTGATTTGTTTTGATCCTTAAAAATGCCTGACAGAATAGTCAGTATCTTGGCTTCCAGGAGCATGTGTTAGGGGGTGGCTGTTCCAAATTCTGCCAAAGAGCAATGCAGAGGGTCTGTATTCTGGATATACTAATAATAGGTGATCCAAAGATACAGAATTTGATAATGCAACTCACAGGTACAAAATTTAGTATTTAATATCTTCCTAGGCGGGGAGAACGCAGTAGGAGGCTGCAGAAAGGTTTTCCAGGCATGTGTGATGGTGTAGAAGTCACTGAAATGAAACGCTGAGTGCTGGCAGGAGGGTTTGTGGGGCTCTGCTGGTCTTGGGAACCATCCCACATGGGTGCGTTGGCCCAGCGCGCTCTCACTAGTGCTACAGAGAAACATCTGCAGGTGTGCATCAGCCCTGGCCCTCTGGCCATGTCTAAAAGTGTTTTCTGGTGGTGAAAAGCTGGAGTCCTGTTCTTACGTGCCAGCAGCCTGTTTGCTGTGCCTGCAGTGAGCTGGTGCAAACATAAAATTGGGGATGTCTGGGGGACATTGGCCTGTTTCAGGGAGCTGTATCTGCTCCTGCATTGAGTCCCAGGAGCAGTAGCTTGTGTTTGGGGATCCTGTGCTCCCTCTCCTCCCCTGGGCTGGCCGGGGGCTGGCTCCTGCCCTTCTGAGGTTTGGCTGCTGGAGCCGAGGCTGCCCAGGCACCCGCAGCCCAGCGGGAAACAGCTCTGGGGGGTTCTGCACTGGGCTGGGGAAGGAGGGAGGAGGGGGCTCAGGGCTCTTCCTCTCTGTTTGCTGATACAGCTAGGGAAGTTTTGGGATGTGGCATTAGTTTGAATCTTTTGCTCTTAGTTCTTGCAGAAGACCACAGCTTAACCCCTGAATCACTTTCAGCCCTTAGGTTGCATGTGTCTAACATTGTGACATAAGGATGATGTTAACAAATTTGGAGCTGTGGAGCTAAGCAGAACTTGTTTGCTCTTTCCTACTGTTCTCAGGTTATTTTAACTCGCAATTGTCTGCCTCTAACATACCACAAATGCTAATTATAAATATGGACTCTTCCCCTTGGAGGCCTTTCTACCATATGGAAATCTAAGTAAAGATTGTGGAATTATTAACTGTCAGGAGAAATATATAATCTCTCATTGGGCTCTCTGGGTTTTCCCCCAAATGGTTTTCAATTAAAATTTTTAAATGGATTTTTTTTTGTCTATCTAAACCTGATTGTTTTATATGATATTTATATAATATGTTACTCTGGGGGTTGCAATGGAAATAATGTACTCTGAAAATCCAGTATTGCTAAATCTTAGGAAGAATTTTCCCTATAGACATGCAACA